TGATGACGGAGGCCGCAGCACCCACATACAGACGCAGACACTACCGTGATTGCTGCTGCGAGTGCCTGGCCGGGCTGGCAGAGAGGGGTGCTAACCCCCTTGTCCTCAACAGCAGGCCATGCGAGCCGGAGGGATCACCGTTCCCGCTCAGCTGAGCCCACCCGCCACCCACCTGCAGGGGAAAGCGCAAACCCTGCTTAACCACAACCGCTTAACCAGTCTGGTTAAAGGTGCCGGGGGACTCGCCTGCTTGACAGTCTCCAGCACGACCGCGGGCGAGCTGACAGAAAAGCCGCTCCAGGCTGAGCACTGGGCAGAGCTGGCCGGGACCGCGTGGAGGGGAAAATTCAAGTTGTAGGCACACTGGATCACACCGGCGTCCTGGAAGGAACCTGCGGCACAAGAACCTCCAGCCAGCCTCTACGCAGACACAGCCCGAGACTCACCAGAGCATCCTCCACCCTGCCTGGCCCCGCAGGGCCCAGCCCAGCCCGTCACTCACCCCGGTGAGGCATCACGGCGTAGGTGAACTGGTGGTGCGCCACGTCTGCCGTGGCGTCGGGGGACTTGGGTGCTCTCAGCCTGAGGCAACAAGAGGTAGGTGAGACCGGAGTCTCGGCAGCACCCTCTGCCACCCAGTCCGGAGCCCTGCCGTGACTTCCAAGAGACACCCCAGAAGGCAAAGTGACTGCTGCGGCCTCACCCTCACCCCAACGCTAACTCACAGCGAGAGGCTGAGGACGTTCCCGCGGGCCGATGCCCCGTACTTGCAGTCGTTCAGCAGTGCCACCCCAAAGCCGTGCTCAGAGAGATCCAGCCACTTGTGAGCCCACACCTGCAGGAGGTACCGAGGGACACATTCACCTCACAGAGCTACTGCCTGGGAGCAAACGCAGCCCCACCGCGAGAGGACCAGAGCACCTTTCCTCTCACCTCGAATCGGGCCCAGTCCCAGGACGTGTTCCAGTGCGTCGGCCGCTGCAGGTGTCCAAACTGAATCTCGTAGGTTGCGTTTGTGCTCCGGACCTGCACGGGGAACTCCACCTTCAGGAACTTGTGAGCCTCTTTCCACTCAACCTAAAAATGCGGTAGCAGAACATCATCATCACCACAAGGCGCTGACAGGCAGAGGCTGCACTTAGGCTCCCACGGTGCACAGCAGCCAGCTCGCACCCAGGCCGGACCAGGTACAATAAAACCACGCTAGACTCTGAACACAGACAAACCAGAGGGTCTCCCTAGCCCTCAGGACCCCCACCCTTCCACTAAGGCAGAGGAGGACAGGCAGCAGGGAGCTCCCGGGGAGGAAACAGGAGGGGAAACGTAATTCAGACGCAAGGTTCAGCTCCCAGGGCCCTGCCTGCACAGCACAGGTGCCCGTATCACGCAGCAGCCGCTGGCCAAACCTGGGTCAGGAAGCGGAGGTACGGGCACGCGGCATCCAGGATGACCTCCTGGGTTAAGGTGCTGCTTTCCCCAATCCGCAGGGAGAAGCTCACGCTTCCTCGCAGACCCCCAGCCAAGGTGATTTCCAGAGGCTTCAGCATTGTTGTCACTGGCTTCCTACAGAAAGGGACACAGACAGAGCTGGTCTCAGCCTGGTAGATCCAGGTTCCCAAATCTCAGTCCAGCCTCCCACACAGCAGACACTTCTCTGGAGTGAATGCTTTGTTACAGCTAGGACTGATGGGGAGGCAAGAACCTCAGAGCAGAGACAAAAATGTGAGTGCTGCGTGCACTGCTCCTCTACCTGGTTTCCAAGTGATAATCCATCACATCCCAGGCATCCCAGTACAGGGGAATATCATCAAAGAGTGCAAACTGGTTGGCACAGCAGCTGTCTGGGACTGACTCTCTGGGAGAAAGCGGAACAGAGAAACAGCAGCGTAAGAAGAACTGGCAGTGGCGAAGGGCTTACGGGGAGAAGAAGGTTTGAGGAGCCTGGTTCCAGGAACCGGGTGAGACACACACCTCTCGGAGTTCACCAGCCGAAGCGAGGTCAGGCGCCCCATCACATCCAGGCGGACTGCAATCACCCCATTCTCCATGGCAATGGAGCCATCCTCCTGGGGGGAGAGGACAGAAACAGATTTCACAGGCCCACACCTGCAGGACTTGAGGTGGGTGCCAAGTGCCCCAGTTGCAAACCTAGTGTGCGGACTTGCTGCGTGCTGGATTCCCTAGATTTCTCCCCGATCAGCCTTTGATGCAGGGTACACCCACCTGAGGACAAGCGGCGTTGTGCTTACCTGTCTCCTCACCGTCACAGGCTGAGGGGGCAGCAACGGCTCCCTCGCTATAGCATAGCCCATGCTGGGGACTGTCACCAGAGCTGGAAAGCAAAGAGGTTCTGTTCCAACATCTGCCCCAGACCTAACCCTAAGTCACACTGTGCTGCCCTGATGCTCTCACGCCAGATCTACCACCTCTTTTCACACCTTCCCCTTCTTCATCCGTAGTTCAGGGACAGCTTGAACCAGGATCAGCCCCAAGGAGCGATTTGACAAGTCAGTGAACGCTCCCCGGGGCAGGGAGAGGCAGCGTATTTCTTTGCTAGCTGTCTCTGTCCCCTGTAAGAGATTCTGGTACACGAGTTACCCCCAAGTTAGACATACCTAAAGTCTCTGTCCCGGCTGGCCCAGCCCTGGAGATCACCTCGGTGCGTTCCCAGGGCAACGTGTTCACCACGAGGGTGCTCTCGGCACTCCCTGCCTTGGGCTGCAGCAGGTCCCCGCACAAGGACTGCAGAGCTTCCTCCTGCAGCCCAGCGCCAGCCCTGCGGATCTCTGAGCAGACAAAAGGCCCGAGTGTGACCCAGCCAGGCCATTTCTGACAACGTACATTTCTCTCGTGCAACGTACGCACGCTTTAGCTACTTCCAAACTACAATT